TTTGCTTGGTACCTGTTGGTCCCTATCCTGTATAGCCCTCACCTCCATCCTTCCCTCCCTGCCTCTCTCCTTCCACAGTGGCTGATGGGGAGAGGATCATTCGCAGCCAGAGGGCGAATGTCAGACCAATGCTGACAGATTCCCATCAATGGCCACTCAGGCTGGACCCTTTAGGCAATTCCTGTGCATCTGAGCTAAAACCACTTTAATTATGAGCAGTAGGATGAATTATCATGCAAGTAACACATATGTTGGCTTTGTCTAGAAACTGCTAACTGCCTAGAAATTGGTCCTGTGGTCATCCCAGAGCAGTCTTGTAAGTCCATAGTCTGGGCTTCCCAGATGGAAACAAAACCAGTTTCTTAATTTAAAATTAAATCCTTCTGTCCTGACACTCAAAAGGGTAAGTGCAAATCTCTGCTGTGGCAGAAACTTTCCCAGACACCGTGGCGTTAATGGGTACATTTCTTGCTGCTCCGCTGGCCTCGGTGCTGGGATGTCAGCTCCTTGCTGGCAGAAGGGAGCTCCACCAAGACTCGGGGGCTTTGCACCCAGCCTTCTGGTGTCAGGGCTCAGCCTCTGCCCCAACTCCATCTCTTGCTGTGTCTGGTTTCAGCCATAACTCAAGTCCTTCCACACTTGACCCTGTAAAGAAATCCTCATGGTGAGCTTCAGCAGTGCAAACTAAGGCATCGTTCAGGCTGTAGTTCTCTGTTGGTTTTCTGACCCATCTTTCTGTCTAGAGATTTTATATATGTATACTAAATCATGCAATAAAGCCAATTTTGTGTCCAGAACCATCGACTCATTTTCCTGTGTCTGTTCTTTTAGCTCACTCAAGCAAAGGTTCCTCTCTCTTTCCATAGAATCACAGAAGGGTTTGGGTTGGAAGGGATCTTAAAACTCATCTCATTCCATGCCCCCCTGCCATGGGCAGAGACACCTTCCACTAGCCCAGGTTGCTCCAAGCCCCATCCAACCTGGCCAGGAACACTTCCAGGGATGGGGCAGCCACAGCTTCTCTGAGCAACCTGTGCCAGGGCCTCACCACCCTCAAAGGGAAGAATTCCTTCTCAATATCCCATCTAACCCTGCCCTCTGGCAGTGGGAATCCATTCCCTCTTGTCCTGTCACTCCAGGCCCTTGTCCAAAGTCCCTCTCCAGCTCTCCTGGAGCCCCTTTAGGCACCGGAAGGGCCTCTCCGGTCTCCCCAGAGCCTTCTCTTTTCCTGGCTGAACACTCCCAGCTCTCCCAGCCTGTCTCCAGAGCAGAGGGGCTCCAGCCCTTGGAGCATATTTGTGGCCTCCTCTGGACTCACTCCAGCGGGTCCATGTCCATCCTTTCCTTTAACCAATCTGTGCAGTCCTTGCTTTAAAACTAGCCAGTTAAAGCAGACAGGAATTGAATCAGCAGCACTGAAGCAGAACAGAGGCAGATGGTTCTGATCAGGATGGCAATATGAATAGTCAGATACTGGTCACAGAGCCACAGGTGTGAAGACTGTGGGTTAGTGGTACCCAGTGGTGAAGCCAGGTGGGCAAAGGGGATGCACAGGGTAGGGGTAAGGAGAGGCTGATCCTGAAATAAATGCACTGCTCCAACTTGCATGGACACCCCGAATCAAGTCTGGCAGCTGAAGCCACAAGAAACACAAGCCCAGTTTGAGGGGTTGCTTTAAATCTGTATTAAATAATAGCAGCAACCCTGGGGTAGAGAGAGACCTGCTGAGCCCAGGGTGTGGGTTTCCATGGGGGGTTTATATATCTCTTTACCCCTTTCCCTGCCTTTGCAACAACTCTGTGGCAATCACCCTGTGTCCCTTGCTGCTCCTGTCACCTGTCCCCAACACTGCTGTGCTCAGGCATTGGAGCTGACAACCATATGAGATGGAGACCTGCCCCAGGGCAATGCCAGCCCCACGTGGGGGTGGCAGACAGAGACCTGCCCCCTGCCCTCACCCCACTAGTGACAGTGTCTTCACCATCCTGCCAACAGAAATATGTCCCTGTTTCAGGATGTCTCTGGTCCCAGTTTTGCCTGGGGATACCAACTAAACCCTCTGTGCTCAGGACATGAGATGGCTTCTTCAGTGTCACATCCAGCAGAACATAGTCAGAAATCTTTTAAACCCATTTAAAAAGGGTGGGGGGGGGGAAGGAAGGGAAAGCAGGGGATTTGAAGCCCTCATGCCATGAGGACAAACCCATTTCTGACAACCCGAGTGCCCCAGCAAGTTGTCTTCCCCTCTTCTCTGCATTTAATGTTCTGATTTCTTTAAAGCAGCTTTTTTGGGGGAGGGAAAGTGATGGAGAAAGGTACCCAGTGTGAATCCTGTGGTGGAGTTGCACTGGTAACTCAGCTTTCAGGGCAGCGTGAACCACAGATCCTCCCCCTCCCCGCAGTGGGCGCTGGGGGGGTGATGGACCAGAAAACTTCCCCTTGTCCAAAATAACCCTGGGTCGAGGACAGGGATTAACATATTCCCAAACTATCTTCCTCAGCCAGCGGAAGATAAAATGCTGGTCCCTTCTGAGTCATGAAAATCCCTGTGCTGATTTGATGAGAGGGGACAGCGGGGAGGGGAGATGCCCCGGCTCGGTCCCTGTCAGGACTCGCCTCTGACATCAGCACGAAACCGGCCATAAAAACAGCGACCGGAGGGGACTCCGGCTCAGACAGCAGCCACTTGGCTCAGCGGGACGGCAGCCGGGCACCTCGCCTCGCCATTCCACGGTAAGTGCAGCCCCGGCGGCGGGAGCCACGCTTTTCTCTCCCTCTCATGACGCTTTTGAGCCCTGCTTTGCCTCTCCGTGTGTCTGTCCTTGCGTCTGTGCGACCGGGCTGGGGGGTTCCAAAAATTTGGTGGCCGCAGCAAACCTGAGCTCGCAGGAGCCCAATCTGCCTCCTGCTCAGCACGCTGCAAACTTTTCCTTTGCAAAAGTCCTTGGAATCAAAGCTGCCGCCACACCCGCGCCGTGTCCTGCCTCACCCAGCTCTCCCGCTTCTGCCCCCCTCGCCCTGGCAGAAATCAAGCCCATTGCTCAGCCGTGCACGCTCCTGCTCATCCCCTCAGTGCCCTGGAGTAGGTTACAGGGTGTTCCCGGGTTTCCATTTCGGCAGCCAGGTCCAGGGGTGGGTGCCCAGGGTGCAGAGGTGACCGTGGTCCATTCATGCATCCCCCAGCATCCAGCAGCAAACCTCATTTGAGGCTCTGCAGCCTTTGATTGGTGCAGCCAGCCCTGCACTTTGGTGGTGGCTCCTCTCCCCATCACCCAGGCTGTGGGATCCCGTGCTGCACCGGGAACTCTGTCAGGCCTGACCTAAGGCACTAGGCTAGGACCAAAACCTGTTTTAATGAACATCAGGTTTGCACAACTCATGTTTGGAGGGGATACTTTCCCAAAAGTATCAGCCCCAGCAAAACCCCCGAGTTCTGATCCAGTTCTCCCGAGTGCTTTGCATCGCTGCTTGCCCAGGGATACCGTGATAGGGACACACATCAACAGCCAAATCCCTTCCCTCCCACAGCCGCATCGGAGGCCACCGTCTTTGTGGCGTGAAGTGCCGGGGGCCAGGAGACTTCGGGGCCGAGCCACTGCGGGCGGAAAGTGCTGGGGATGAAGCTGGGGGCCACCTGCCTCCTGTGCCTGCTGCTCGCCTGCCTGACCCTGCCCGTCGCCTACGGCCGCATCCTCCAGCGCTCCATGGAAATCAGGAGTAAGGAGAACATGAGTAAGGGAGTCCCCCCAATCAACACCCTGCTTCCAGCCCCCTCTGCATCCTCAGACTCAGCCGCATTTTTGGGGGCGAGGAGGGGGTGTAACGATACAAAAGCAAAGGTTTGCTTTGAAACAGCCTTTGCAAGAGCTTTTATCCCTCTCTTTCCCCTTTCCTGCTCTCCTTGGGTTATCATCCCCCCACCCACGGGTGAAACGCCCTGTCCTCTCCCCCATTACCCCCTGATGGTTCCTCGGCTTTTCCCTTGCAGACCCGGACATCGACCCCTCCTGGTACACGGGACGCGGGATCAGGCCGGTGGGGCGGTTTGGGAGGCGGCAAGCCCTGGGCGAGGGCACCCACCCCATGGGGGGCCGGCAGCGAGCCTGTGCAGCCCCCCACCCTCCCCGGGAGGAGCGGAACCCTTGAACTGAAGCTGACAATAAAACCCCTTCTCCTCTCATCCCTGTGTCCCAGCCTCTCTGTTCCAAAACGCAGCATGAGGGGGACGTGGGGGATGCAGGGTGGAGAGTGTGACCCCAAAATTTGCTGGTCTCGTCACAGCCCAGCACTGAGGGTCTAGTGTAGTTCGGGGAGGGAAGGGTTAATTTTGGGAAGGGGAGGGAGCAGATGGGGTACAGGAGTGGCAATTAGCACCTAATGTCTCCCAGCTGCCCTAACAAAGGGGATTTAGGCGAGAAGAGGGAGCAAATCAGCCTTTTTTCAGAGGATGGGCTTTTGTCCTGTTCTGGGATGGCTCAGCCCTGGGGAAGCACCACAGGTGAGTGTCCTGGCTGGTGTGGGGTGCTGAGGTGGTTGGTCCTCAGGGGTAAGATAACCTCCCCTGCACGGGGAAGGTCTTCAAGGGTGTTTGCTGCCTGGCATTGCTCTCAGGCCATACCCCGAAAACTCAGAGGTTACTGCCCTGCAGACAAGGTGAGTGCTGCTGCCTTTGGAGAGAGCACAGGTGTTTTTTAATCCTTTTCCAGCCAAGGTGCATTCCCATATCTAACTCATAATATGTAAAGGGGAGGCCCTGGAAGGCACGGGGTACTGAGACACCACTTGTTTGGTTTGGCCCCATTCTGGCTCTTATGTTGGCAATAAATCTGTGATTTCTCCCAAGGATGGGCTGTGACCCACTAGGGGTTAGATGGGGTGAGGGAGCACTGGCTCTGGTCCCTGCCACCTCTAAGCTTCCCCACCTGCAGGCTGACATCCAGGACAGGGAAAAGTAACGCACCTTCAGGGCACTATTCTCTTTATTTGCAGCCTGAGTGTGAAGTCCCCAGAATGCACCTGCTTTGCTCTGGAAAGCTAAACCCTCCCTTTTCAGATGGAAAGGGAGATGGAGGAGGTGATGTGCAGCTGGGGTGGGGGGATGTCACCAGTCAGGGTTGGTGGTAGTGTTGCTAGCAGGTTGTGCTCTTCTCTGGAAGTGGAAGCTTGGTGGAAGAAAACCCTGTGCTTTAGCTCTCGGGTGAAGACAGTGCTAGAGGGTTGAAGAGGCCCTGTGCACCCGGGGTGGGCTCTGAACTCGCTTTAAGGGGGAGGGTGGTCAGGCTGAGCTGCTTCTGCACTTCTGAGTCCCCACTGCTCCTCGTGGAGACTTCATCCAGTCATGGCTGAGGTCCAGAGTTGCATGTCCTCAGAGCCAGCAGCACCTCCTCTCTGGCGTGCCCTCCTTCAGGTCAATTGTTGATCTCTTGTGTGGGGATGGGGCAGATGCCTTCTCTTTTTCCCGACGCAGGAGCTCTTGGACTAGGAGGAAACATAAGGCAAGAAAGGGCTCTTTTCCCCTGCTGGTAGTGTGGGGTGCGATGGCCACACCATCCCACCCCAGGGGACCATCCCACAGTTCCCCAAATAGCTAAGCTGGGGACACCATTACACCCAGATTGGATACTAAAGCAAAATAAAATTGTGGCTTTGGGAAAAGGCCTGAAAGCCATCTCTGATACTGGAGTATCCTGGGATGGATCTGTCCATCCTTCTGCCTTAAGGGGTGGCACAGGCTGGATTGGCTGGGAAGAAGATCTCAGTGGCAAGCAGGAGCAGTGAAGGGGATCAGCTTTGCAGGGGCTTGGGGCCGTGGTTCACCTGCTTCTGCTCTCACCTAGACCCATCACATGACTCACCTATGGCCATGAAGATATCATTTACTTGATGGTTGGATTTTGCAGATGTCTCCATGAACAGGAGGCCTTTTATCCGTGCAAACTCTGCCCCCTCCTAAGTGGAGACAAGCAGAGTTATTACCCCAGCCTCTTCTGTGGCTGCTTTTTTGGCTATGGTGGGTCAGTAATTGTACAGAGATTTTGGAGGTGTCTGAAAACCTTTTAAACTCTTGGCTTTCCTCGGACATATCCCAGTGCTTGCTGGTGAGGGGGTGATGAGGGAACCACAGGCACTCACCTCAGTGGTGACCTCTCGCTCAGCAGCAAGGTCTGTTTTGTTGCCCACCAAAGCAATGACAATTTCATCAGGGAGGAATTTCTTCTCCAGCTCCTCCACCCACAGCTTTGCTTTCTTGAGTGTTTCCTGGAGAAATGGAGACAAAACCGCTCAGTGATCTGGTTTTGATTTAATCCCTTTGTCTCAGACAAAGCTGAATGGGTGGCACCAAACCAAAGGTGGAAGAGGTGTGGTGGGGAAGTAGTGATTGCCCTCTCTCAGAAAAACAGGTCACCAGCTCTCAAACACCTTCAGGCATAAATCCACCTTGGATGGGATGCACCCTTTCTGCGTGGCAGCAGAAATCATCCCAGGGTAGTGGCATGGTCCTGCATGGGCAGGGGCAGCCCCTGACAAGTCCCAGGTGGAATGTTCACCTTCTCAGGTGGTGCTCATGTACTGCTTTCTGGTCTGCAAAGGACAAACACCATCATCTGGACATCTCTGCCCCACCAGTGTGCTGCAGCATGGCATGGATGGAACGAGCATCCCCTGCCTTACCTTCTTAGCAATGTCATAAACAAGGAGAGCAGCGTGGGCATTCCGGTAGTAGAGGTGGCAGACACTTTGGTACTTCTCCTGGCCTGCCGTGTCCCAGATCTCAAACTTGACGGTGGCTGCCTCCAGGTTGTGTGTGCGTGTGAAGAAGGAGCCTGCAAGCAAGATGCAGGGTACATGTTCACTTGCAGTGACAGGAGATACCTTAAGTCTGCTGCTGTGAGGTCAAACCCATCCCGAGGGTTGGTAACAATGTTCTAACGCGCAAAGTTGGGGTGGGTTTCTCGTAATCACTGGTACCATTGATGGGATGATGTGCTGCAAGGCTGGGAGCCCTTCCTGACAGCAGACTTGGGTGGACACCAGGTTTGATGGCAGATAGTTCTGAGCTTTGCAGAACAGACCCCAGACAGAGAGGCACCACCACCTTGCTGGTGGGTCAGACCTGTGAGAGCTCTGAATAGGAATATCCACTGAAAGGGCTCACACTGGAGGGTGAGCCTTCATCTCTGTTCCCAGGGAGCAGATGGCTGCCTGTAGACCAGCCACAGCCATGGCAGAGGGATGGGGAGAAGCTCCATGGCACTTTGCTCTCCTCCACCAGCTCTGCAGATACAGGTGGGACTGCAGCCTCTGTGCCTGCTGTGCCTTCTTAGGCAAAAGCCAGGTACATCATGTAAAAGGAACATCTATAATGTCTAGATGCTGTAGGACCTAGGCAGGGGAGATTGAAACTAGATTATCTTTAAGATGCCCTCCAATGCAAACCATTCTATGAGACCCTCCTGGGGTGTCTTAAATAGCTGGGAGGGCAGCACAGGACCAAGCGTGCAAAGAGCAGATGGGCTGTACAGTTTGAATTCCAGGTTTCACTCAGTTTGCTGCTCATCTGCCTCTAAAAAGCAGCACCAAGCCATACTTGTGTGATATGGATGTGGCTCTGCTTACAGCCTGGTGCTGAGCAAATGGTCTGCAGAGATGTGAAGGGGAAGGTCTGGCTCTTGGGCAAATCTGTATCATGTTCAGAAGTGGGTCTGTGCTACTGTGAGATGTACCAACCAGTTCTTCTCCATCCCACCCTGCTTCAAGGAAGTGCATCAGGCCTGGTGTCTTGTCCAGAGCCATCAAGCAGTTAAAGCCACTCACTCACAGCCCACGGTTGGCAGGAACTCCCTGAAGTCATTTTTCACGTATCGGTAGGCCAGGCTTGACTTCCCCACCGACATGCTGCCCAGCAGAACCACCTTGTACGTGTAGGTGGGATGACTCCCCTCCAGGGAGGCGCCTGGCATTGTTTCCTGTGCCATGGCCTGCAATGAAACCAACTCTGTTCAGTGTACATCTGCAACTGATCCCAGCCTCCTGCATCAGGTCCTGACTGGTGCCAGGGGGACAGGTGGGGTTTAACCTCAAAATAGGCTGGAATAAAATCATTAATATCCTGAATCAAATCTAATATATCAAAGCATCTGCCACTGTCAGTTATGACCAGAAGGTGGAGATCTTTAGGAAGGAACAATCGATGCAAGAAGCCTTCTTGGATGTAGACAAGGAGACTAAATTTGGCGTGTCTCCTTTAAGAGGACATGCTGGGGGAAGTTAATGGCAGAGGGACATCACTCATGGCTGTGCCTTGCTCTCGAGCCCACCTTTCTCACCACAGTGCTGCTGAAGAGTTTAGGCTGATGTTCTACATTTATTGTGGGTGCTGGTTATAAGTTATACCAGGAAAGCCCAGCTCAGGCATGGAGGTGATGCTGCTACCAGCTTGCTAAGGACACTGCCCAGGGAATGACTCGGCACCTCAGGATCTGATGGGCTTTGTGGTAGCCCTGCTTTGAGTCAGCAAGTTGCTTGAAAAAGCAGGAGCAAGAGGACCTGGCTCAAGCACCCCTGAGGACAGCAGCACACAAAGCAGATGGCACATGCTCTTGCACCATGGTAAAGAACCCCCAGACAGACCAAGCCCATGAAGTCTCACACCTCATGACTATGTCAGCACAGAGCGCGACTCCGCCCCACTTCAGATGGAGCTACACTGTGCCCAGGGATGGCAGGGGAACATAGACCAGAATAACAGTGGTTATCTCAAACCTGACTCCGAGAAAGCTGCTGCAGAGTTTTGGCCATACCCTGGGAAGAGGATGGTCGGTGGGAGCCCTCCTGGGTGGCACGTGTCTCCTCCTCCCAGCCTTGAGGTCAAGGAAGCGACAGTGCCCTGCTCTTGGTGGGAACTGCCAGCACAGGGCAGCAAATAACACTGTCTTGGTTTGCCTTGGTTCCTCCTTACAGAGCTCCTCCTCCAAAAATACTCATGTGAACAGTTATAAATGAGAGAAGGAAGTTCATGCAGAGCCTGAAGATGAAGGCTCGTGGGGTGTTGAACTGAACAGGATGCCAGGATGAGCACTGATGGAATGGGGTGCTTCCTTCCATGTGGAAGAAAGCCCTGGTCAGCCAGAGAGCAAGACCAGGACCTGCAAGACTTATAATGAAGATTTAGCGATATTTCTACCTGGGGCTCAGGAATCTGGTATGTGAAACATTGCTGTTGAGCAAGAAGTACCTTTATGAAGACACCTAACAGCAGCACTAGCAATGTAGTTTCTGGCCTGGGAAGGTCTCTGCAACACCCCTCTCTGACAAAAGCCTCTTGTTCTTGCAAGCTGCTCATCCCATTGTCTCCTTTATTTTGCCTGTCCTTCCCCTGCAATCTGGCAGGCTCCAGACCTTTAATTCTTCATTAAGGCTGTCCTTAAGAGCATTCCTCGGTTGGCTGAACTCGGGTCTGTATCTTTAGATCCAAATAGCTTTCCTGCTCAGTTAAATGGGCTTTAATTCCCTTAAAGAACACAGGTAACACCACCTTCCCCAGCTCATACAGCCCCTGTGATGAAGAGCAGGATTGTAGTTTGTGCAGAACAGCTAGTCAGGAGTGGGTAATATTATTTAAACAGGAAAAAGATAAACTCTGCAGCACAGCATAAATGTGCTCCTTGTGGTATTGATCACATACACTTGCCTCTTTATAGGCTGGAAATAAGACTGCCATCCATTCTGGGCAGTTACTGTCGGTGATAAGCCATAAAACTCTCTAAGGAAGCAAGAAGCTGCTTGAAAACCACCCAAGATTATCTATACTAAACTCAGTTTCTCATCATTTCCCTCTGCTGCTCTCTGTTCAACGTCATAAGGTTGAGTTGATGCTGGAACAAAACTCACCTGAGATTTACTGCAATGAGTTTTGCCAAAGTTCATTTTAAACAACTTCTTTCCCAGAGAGTGTCTCCCTTTCCACTCAAGGAGAATGGCAAGGAAGAAAAACACGTGGCTTTATTCTTTCTAATTCAATGAAGAACAGGGGAAAATGGTGGTGGTTTTGTCCTTTTTGTTTGGGGTTTTTTTCGGTTTTGGTTTTTTTCTTGGTTTTGGTTTTTTTTTTTGTTGGAAAAAGAGTGTAAAAACCTGCACTTTCTGGCTAAAGGACTACAGGAAGAGCATCCAGATATCTCATGTGGTTCACAGTCACCCTTCTGTAGCTGCTCTATGCTTTGAGGAAGAGACCGTCAGTAAGACTTGGCTTAGGGTTACAGTCAGCTCCACAAATTCCAGGATGCTGTTCTGGCAGGGTCACCAATCCCTGCTCCAGGTGTGGATGTCACAGCAAACATCATCCCTGTCCTTCCAGCCAGTGTCTGTGCTGCTGAGGAAACACAGGCTTGCTGTTCATGTGGAAACCTTGCTGACTTCCCTGAGCAGATCCAGGAGAAATACTGACAAAAACTTTCCTGTGCATTTCTGTAAGTTAAACCCCAGCAGAGTGCATGTGCATGCTAGAAAGTTTCTGTCAGCATAACTAGAATAAGTTCGGTTGATCTTATTACAAACTCGAAACTCTGAAGGAGTCATCAATGCTTTGGTGTAAAATGGCTTTAGCAAATTTTTCCACACAGGCTTTCAAAGGCTGAGGTGTAACCTGAACTGGGACTGCTTAGATGCTGGATTTTGTGGCTTTTTATTTTGATCCTGGCAAAGAATAACTCAGCAATTTGGGGAGCAGCTTGGGGAACAGCTGAGGTGTTGCAAGTCCTGTCCTTGTGCCTAGAGGCCATGCTGAGGGGCAGAGAAAGCTGAACCTGCTTGGATTCAGTATAGTCAGAGTTAAACCAATTTATCTTCAATCGACTGTAAAAATCCTGCTGGTGGATTTAGCCTCCAGATACAGCTTAATATTTTGTGACAGCTGTGTCTAGAAGCAGATATTCGGGGCAAGATTGCTTGATCTCACACTTACCTTGAAGGTAAGTGGCCAAATGGCCACGACACAGATCATTTCTCACTTCCTGACAGAGGATTAAACATTGCTGCACCCAGGAAATTGTGTTCTCAGCCAGACACCCCCATTCCCCTGTCTCATTGTCTCCTCTCTCCTTCCCTTGGGCCAGCTCTGACCAGCGTTAATCAGCTGTGTCCCTATGGAGCCCACTGTAAATCGAGTTAAAGGTGATCTCTTTGCCAGCTCCGGCAGCAGCAGCGCCAGATCAGCAATATTGCACTTGAACCACCCATTTCCAAGAAGGGATCTGATGAATATGTTTATGAGGGTGACCTAGTTGTTTAGCATTAGCAGGAAAGTGGATTTTATCTAAGGAGTATCCTTTCAAACTCGTCGTTTATCAGCATAAAGACTAGTAATAAAGAGAAACATGAGGTGACAGTGTGTGCTAGAATGTGACAGCAAGGGCTTGGCTGTCGCCACTTTGTAAATTAGTATCTCTGCAGCATTTTTAACCTGGGGTGGAGGGTCCTGGTATATTAACTGTGAGGGGATAAGCCTTTTATTTCCAAAGGAAAGCAGTAAAAAAAAAAAAGGAAAAGTAATGCATACCTTTTGAAGATGAAGTTACCGAGAAGTCTCATTTAAGACTGTTTAATTTCCTGGGAAATTAATGTTGTTTAAGTGTAATGATGTCTAATTGATGTCTAAGCTTTTCTAAATCACAAGCTCTAAGAAAGTCCTAAAACCATTAAAGACATTTGCTGAGTTTCTGCAGGGGTGCAGCAGTGAACTAGAACCACAGTTAATGAGCTCCTTGGAAAAAACACAGGATTTCAATGCTTAACTGTGTAAGTCTGCAGTATCTAACCCTGCAATTTTTGGTCGTGATACTTTAGGTTCTTTCACGCTTAGATACTTAATTTTTTCCCCCACACGAGATAGTTGTCATGCACCTACGTCCCCAGTTAACTTCCAGTATTCAACTTAAAGCACTCCTCTGCTTTTGGGAGCCTTCTCCTAGCTGCTAAAGCTCCGGCAGTGCTGATGTGGGAGCATGATCACTTGGAAAGTTCACTTAAGCCAAGGTTACCAGGGGATACAAAAATCCCAACTGCAAAGACTTAAGGTGCAAACACTGTTAGATTTACATAGTGCTGATTTCTCAGGGCAATCAGCTCTCCCCAGAGCTAAGGGGAAGAGAATAAGGACCATTAACTGTGCCGGGAAATACGGCAGCAATAAATGGAGACTGCCTGGGCTGTGGGACACACCGAGCACTGCTAAGACCTTTGCAGTAGCTCTTTGGCTTCCTGAGAGGATGGGGGTAGGGCAGAGGGCTTCCTAAGTCTTCCTAAAACCTCTTCTCTTGGGCAGAGACTCACTGAGGACTGTGCCACCCTTCGTGCTGGCTGCACCTTCGCCCCTTGGGTGTGGGGCTGCTTCCTAGTGGGAGGATGAGAGTCCCGGCGCTTGTCTGGGAAAGGCACCTTGGAGACGGTGGGTTGGGTCTGGGGCCTGCCTCACGGAGAATCCCCCAGCAGAGGATGCCTTTACCTTCCCGAAGCCTTGCTCTCCTCCCAGGGTTTCAGTCTGTGGTGTCAGGTGCGGTGGGATGATGGCCCCATCCGTCTGTTCGAGCCTCTTGGTGCCAGGGGCAGGTGAAAGCGAAACCACCCGGGAGTGGTGTCAAAGGTGAGAAGCGACCGGAGATCAGCGAACCTTAGACCTGACGCCAGGTCTAAGGTCTGGGAGCCAGGCAAGACGAGAATATTAGGCTGCCGTCACAGGGAGCGGAGCCGGTGGCCATGCCCCCTGCACTCCCTCCTTCCCCACCTCCTTCCCTCCCCATTTCCCACGCTGGGGTCTGGCAGTGGGTGGGTGGATGGACAGACACATGGATGAATGGGTGAGTGTGTTTTTCCCCATGCCATAGGGTCCAAGGCCAGCCTAGTTATCAGGGGAATGGGGAGGAAAAGCACCTTGGACTCCACCACAGCCGGAGACGTGGCATACCAGGGATCTGTCCTTCCCCGGGGTTTTATAATGCAGCAATTTCTGCTGACACACATTAGACCTGGCTTTGGTCTTGTGCCAGGTATGGGCTCAGGTAACTTAGGTTTGGGATTGCAAAGTAGAATTGTTTTCAGGAGCGTGGCTGATTTACTGTGTGTGAGAAGACACACCCGCTTGTCTTGCAGAATGCTTGGGCTGTTGAGCTTGGGAGGTGCAAAGTGAGCAAAAACTGAGCATTTTACTGCCTGTCAATTAAGGTAATAGCTATTTACCCCAGGCAGCTGGGGCTTAGTGTTTTGAAAAAGGCTACTCTTGTTAAATCTTCAGTATCTTGAGAGAGAAATCACAGCATGTTAATGCATTGGGATAACGGGTCTGGAGTGAAAATGGTAAGATATGATAATTAAATATCTAAATTAAGATAGTTCTGTATTTCTGTCACTCATCATCACAGGCAGTATCTTTCCTTCAAGTAAGATGTCTGAGAGTAAAACAGACTTCACAAAATCTAGTCCTAATAGTTATAGGGAGCAGGGTGAAAAGCAGAAGTCCTACAAGAAAGCTTAAAAATAATATCAGCCTAGTTTTGAAATGAGAAGTGTGTCTTGTGACTTCCAAGGCCTGAGCACTGTGGCTCAATTGCTTCTCATTTCTATAGTAAAAAGCCATGTACAGATGCCCGAGAGTTGCACAGATTTCATGCAGGAGCTCATGTGGAATCACCATGAGAGGTTTTGGTCTGCAAGCAAAATTGGAGCATTTCCCTTCATTTGGGAATGTGTGCATGGATTTACACTGTCACAGCAAAACTTGAGGTAGATATAATCAAGCCTGAGAGCAGATTTTAC